TATATTAAATTACACCTAAAATAAACATACTTTACGCCATTTACTCCAACATTTTGAAGTGCCAGGTATAGCATTCAGCGTTTCGGCAATAGCTTCCCACCTTTTCTGAGCTACCTTTTGGGTAAATGTTGGAGTAAATTTACCAGCTACCAATTGAGGATCATTTTTCAATAACTCTACTAACTCTTGCATTTTCTGCTGAGTTGGACGAGACGACATTATAACTAGAAATTATAGACAAAAGGCAAGACAATCTGTTTAATCAAATAAACAGCTAGTATTTACAAGCTTACTACTACTAGTGTATACCCAAAGAAAAAATAATAATGTGTATACCGCTTAAATCATATTATTATGATCTAAGGTATAAACTATAGTGTGGTGTATCCGATGATAATGCGATAAGATTTTGATAATATATTATTTTGGCGGAAATATTTCTGATATAAATGATAATAAATCAATGTTAGGTTATACCATTGTGGTTCATTCGACAAGATTATGATTTGTCGACAAAATCTCGAATTTGACTAATTTTTGTCGAATGGCATTGGAGAATAGCCTTTTGTAGTCGACTACGACAAAATCAATAGAGTTTACTCGTATGCGACTTCTTGTCGATCGATTTCGAGAATAGGACCCCAGGCCGGTCGTCGGGTCTCGATGGCTTCATTAGCACATTCCTTGAGCCCGACGACGGCTCACACATATACATATAATAATATTAACATATACATATTATACTAATATTAACACTAATATATATACTGTTATACTATATATATATATATATATCATGTATTCATGTGTGTATAACGTAATATTATAATATTATCTTGGGTTCAGTATAGGTAGACTGAAATTCAAAATTAAGCTGTATATTAGTATTTAATTTCACTATAAAACACTATACTGTTATCATTTGACAAGTTGACATTTGGGTAGTCGAGACACCTTTATTACTAATGAGTCACAAACTCACAATAGGCAAAAATGTAATTCATATGCAACATTGGGTAGGTACAAAGATTAGTTGCGGCATCCGGCAGATGCTACTTCAGATCATTGGTGTACATAGGAATCTACACGAAAGTACAATACAAAACACCATACTAATAACCAAACTGAGTTTTAAATGATGAATAGTCTATTAAAAAAAAAAATTTGGACAAAAAGTCCGATCACATTTTTAGTGTCGGATAAAAAATCCGAAAATACAAAAAAATGTATTTAATTTTAATTTTATCATGTAATTATTATAATATTATATAATTATATAATTAATATAAATTATGATAGTAAATATATATTTTTGTTAGTTTTACGAAATAATAAAAGTAGGAAAATAGAAAAAAAACACAGATTAAAAAATAATAAAATATATACCTATGTACAAACTTTTTTTACCTAATTGATTATAATATATTATAATTATATATTCAGTGTGATTCTTATATTAAACAACACTGATATATATGAGCCTGTATATAGGCCTAACTACCTAACTACCTATATAATAAATTAATCAATTAAAGATGATAATTTAATAGAATTATAAGTTTTTTAGGACTTTTTGTCCGACACTAAAAATATGCTCGATTTTTTGGTCCGCTTTTTTCCGTTGCCTTGTTTTCTTAAATTCATATTGACCGTACCTAATATTTTTTTTACGGAAGACGATTCTCAAGGAGAAATTTTTTCGTAGTAKATTTCTGCCAATATACATTTTGCCACCCCTAGTATAATCTTTTTTTTTATTGATAGCTTTAAGTTAGGTACAACTAATACAGCTCAACAATTATACAAAAGTAGATTACAATTTAATTAATAAAACAAACAAGAGAGGTAGGTACTATAATATAATAGTATAATCTAATAAATACAAAATTAAAAATTACATTTTACTTCACAGATACTAGATAGTGAATATAATTTTCAGAAGTCTTATTAGACATGAGTGAACAAAACACTTGAACCTATATAGCTACTCTGCATTGTTATGTATTCTTTCTAGACCAGGAATTATAAAATCGGGTTAGGGAGGGTAAATGTAAATTTGGTAGATAGGAACTATATTTTTATGGATAGGTAATCGGAAAAATATATAAATACTTAAATAATATTATAATTATGGCTTAGTGCCAATATAGTAATAACCTACGTCATAAAAAATGGGCTCCCATGCCCACTGTTTCTTGTGGAATTAAATCCCAACACCAACAATAAAGATATCCTAAACTTGTCTTCAATTTTRCACACATATGTAAAAGTCGAACTACCATATAGGACAAAGAGTGGTCCACCTCAGTGCCGTAACTGCCAAAACTACGGTCACACCGCAAATTATTGCCACCATCCTCCACGGTGTGTCAAATGTGGGAGT